GATATTTTATCATTAAATTTAACATCCATTAATGGTTCTCATGGTTTGGTATAAAAAAAAAAAGAAAAGTTGATTCGATCGTGTTAAAATATTTCGGTATTTTTAGATTGTTGAATTTGAATTTTGGTATAGAAATCGTTCAGTATTTGAAATTTTACATAATTCTGATCTTGAACGGATGTATGAAATAAATTTAATTACATTGGGCAATTTTCATGAATATTATCGATCTATTATTCGTCATTTAAAAAAACATGATTTTTTTATAGATTTAATTGTTGCTGTTTTACTGGGTATTGTCATATGTATTATGTGTGTGTCGCAAGTTGATACTATCGAAAAGGTCCAAGTTTTTAATAGATATAATCTCTCTCTCTTTCTATACATCTATACATATATGTATATATATATAATATTATTTTATTAACTACAATACTTAATAAAATGTATAAATCTTTTTCTTTGAGTATTTAAATTATTAAATATGTTCATCAGTTTGATGACATGGTGGTCGTCTAGCTTGTACAAATCTTGATTTAATTAGTTTTTGTCGAAGACTCTGATTTATTTCAACATCATTAGAATCATCACATGTATCAATGATGATCGATGGAGCATTCAAAGTATGTTCACTTGGTAATAATTCATGAGATTCATCTAGAATAAAAATAATAATTTATATTTAGAAAAGAACATTGTCGAATTTCGTGATCTATCATGAAACATGATACCATATATCTAGTATCATAGAGCAATTTGTGACGTTTCAACTTGTATTAAATAATTCAAGTGTTATGAAAATTTTCATTTGTTTAGAGTCCATAGATTGTACATAATTCTTATGAATGATTTCTAAAACAAACTAAATTCGATTTCTATAATCTATAATTATCATCATTGTGTTGAAAAATGATTTATTTTCTTAGATCGAGGTTATTTCTTGACTACTTGATATTCCAGTGTGCTTAATTGAGTGATACAAAACAAGAAACTTTCTCAAAAATTATACACTATCTAGTTTTCTCGAGCAGCAATGACTTCTTGTCAATTTACAAGATTTTCCTAGAATAGCCTGTTTTCCTTTATGAAGGAGCCGATATATTGACAATATTTAAACAATACTGAAGGATCTCATTAAAACTTTTAATGTATTAATAATCAACAAAGCATCTCTGATGTATTAATATAAAGAACCTCTTTATAAACGGAAAAAAAATTTGACTTCCGAAGTCCTCGATAAGAGTACAATGAATATGGAAGAAATTATTATTGAAATGAGCATGAGATATTTATAGACTCTTCTAGAATTTCATGCATAAATTTACTCTGGATACTCAAAAGAAAAACTTGAAAAACAAAAAGATAATAATAACAGACCTCTTTCCTACAACCGTAGATCAGCACTCTTCGTCCAGGGGTATCGCGATCAAAGAATTCTTTTTACTTATAAAGAAGTTACTTATATCAGTTCATCAAAAATGCTGTGATAATTATTGATACATTAAAACTTTTTATGAGTTTCTTCAACTTTGTTAAAATATTGTCAATGTATCGATCTCTTTATATAGGAATACAATCTAGTTGAAGAGACAATCTTGTACATTGACAATGAGTTCTGCTTTTCTGAATGATCTTATTAAATAACAACTAGTCAAAGAATAATTTAGGCCTAAGAAAAGGAACTATTTTAAAGCAATGATAAAACTATTGATTATAGAAAAATCGAAGAATACCTACAATTGTATTAAATTATGTTTAGAAACCAACTTTGCACAAGTTTATTTTAGAAACCATTTTCAAGAATTATTAATAGTCTATGGATTCTCAATACATTAAAATTTTCATAAAACTTGATTCATTTAATACAACTCGAAGTACCATAAATTACTGTACAAAACCACATATATGATATCTTGTTTCAAGATAGGTTACTAAATCCGGCAAGATCCTTTATAATTATTTACTAGGTTTTAATTGTGAAATAGCAGCAATGAGATTTAAATCAACAGTTGGTGGTTTTTCAATATTTTGTTCCCAATTATCTGGTGGACTAGCTGGTGGTGATATAAGATAAAGTTTGTCAGGTTCAGGTGGACGTAAATGTTCATCAGGATTTGCATCACGAAGAGTAAGGGGCTAGAATAGTATAATTTCTATAGACAAACAAAAAAGAGACAAACTAAATCATTGACTTACACAAACAAAATATGTATTTATTATTTTATCATGAAATGGATATTGATTTAAATGTAATCGAGCTTGAAAAGCATTATATGATGATGTAAATGTAATACGTACACGTTGAAAAAATTTTAGATAAATTACAGTAATTTGAGGATCATAAACACGAAATAATTGTTCAAATTCATCCTTTTTACAAAATAAAAATCAAAAAAAATATTCGCAAATTAAAATACAAAAAAAAAAAACAAAGAATATATTTTACTTTCATTTGTTGATTTGTAAATAAATCTTCAGGTACAGAACTAATAATAAGACTATTTGGTAATGAAGATACATCAATATCATTATTATCATTTTCTATATAATCATGTTCATGTTCCTTACTATGATTATTAAGATCATTTGAATCATCATCTATATAATTAATAAAATATTTTGTTGTATCTTCATCATCATCGAATTGCATTGATTTAAGATCATTAGTTATTTGATTCAACTTTATGATAAAATAAATAAACAGTAGTCTACAGTAAGATCAATATATACATAGGAAATACTTACATTATCATCAGTCATGACTCGGATTATGATGTCGCAATAAGAAAAGCGGGATTTGTTAATAATAGTAAAATAGAGTAGAATATAAGAACCAATTATTATTATTTCCAGAGCGACATCTTGTATAATAAGATACACAGTAGTTTTCCAACTATGGTTTAGTCATTTCTCATAGACTTCAGAATATGTTCAAATTTGAATAATCCATTGACTTTGTTCGAAAAGGATGCTTTTTTTTTTACAACTCAATGGTGTACTATAGGAAAAATTGTGATATGATTTAATTAGATAATATGCATTCAGAATCAACAATTTGAAGAATTTATTTTAGAGTGACATCAAACGAAGACTATTCATATCAATGTCATTGATGGAAGAAATTATTAAAGATAAATATTGCTGAAAAACTTTCAGATTTAATTCATGTTTTAATAATGTTATGACTTTTAGCATATGTGTGTGAAAACAAAAATGTCAATGAAATAATCGATTTTTCCATGAAGAAAACAAACTTCTATATTCAATCATTGTTCTTCTTCTCTTATGTTATTTTGATTTCATTTAGATATCATCACTTAAGTAGTAGAATCAACGATACATATATTTATAAAGTGCATTGTATTGACATGATCTATTTATTGATTTGAAAAAAGTACATTTTAATCATTTGTCAGGATTTAATCAAGTACTCTATAATTAATCATAGATAAAATTACATATTTGAATAGAGAACTCTAATGAAAATTCTTGATGTGTCCGTTCCAGATGTTTAACTTGATTCTTTAAGGATTCATTCTTGTTTCGTGAGAAAAACGACTAGATTCTGAAGAAAATACGTAACCACAAAATAACAAAGATTTCAGAAGGATCCTAACCGAGCAGTTTACCTGGATGGATTATGTCATGTTATTGTATATAACTTTAACATGGATGGAAGTATGAATTGACTTTCGCTTAACTCAAACCCATACCCAACTTCATTAAAGTCTTGACAGTATGTGATCTGATATTTCTAGTGAGATCCTAAATTGTTATGGAGAAACCCCCACTCCGAAACCTATCTTCTAAACGGTTCAAGAGATTTCGATGAAAACTTCAGGAAATAAAAAAGGTAATGTAACTAGCATCTGATAAAAACTTGAACCAATCATTTTTGATAATTGAGGAGTTATACTCAATTTACTTATGAAAATGGGGCTTTTGGCATGGAACATTTTTCCGGGGCGTGGTAGCATAGAAAATGTTGAAATTTGTTTCAAAATGAAGAAAAATCTTTTATCTAGAAATTGTAGGAACAGTTTTTTGAAATTCATCTTTGTTCAATAGTAGTGATCATTTTAAACCGAAAATCGAAAAAACTGTTTTGATCTCTTTCAAAGATTTTCAAATATCTGAACAACGGAGATATATTTTAGAAATCTGTTCCACCAATTTCTAGAAAAAAATCTCATCTTTTGAATAAAAAAACATCAGTAGCGTACGTCAAACAGTGGACTGGAAAAATGTTCCGCAAGTGATCAGTAAACGATAAAAAAATGAAGCTGAGAAAAACGAATAACAACATTGCGAAGTAGTTGATGAGGTTCCTGTGTAGAAAATTAGAGCATGTTATATATCATTGGAAAGTGTGTAAAAAGATCTTGCAGTTGATCATGTTTTCAAGAAAAAATTAAGCTAATTTCTAAATCCAAGTTTACTGTAGCGCCACCTTTTCGAAAAACAACCTAATTTTGAAACTTCCTTCTCTGACTGCAACAGTTAGAACATGATTACTCGATACATTGATGGTTTTATACTGCTGATAAAGAAGATGGAACGATATTAATTACGGGTAACTAAGGAAAAAAAATCAACACAACTGTCGATTTTCCACTATGACTTCCAATAGACGCCCCAGAATTTGGCAAAATATGTTCCATTCTTATATAATTTATACATATTCTGAAAGAGGACTGTCAGGGCTACTAGAATATGTGTTTTTTCAAAAAAATCGAGTTTTTCAAGAAAAATCGACTTTCGGAGGGGGGGGGAGGGGTTCCCCCTTAATTCAGAAAAACATTTGACCAGGAACTTGAACAAATCGCGAAAAAAGCCCTATTGAATCATTAGAAATTCTGCAAACAGGAATTTTCTAGAATTTAAGATAGAATCTTGAATAAAAATTGATAGAATTATCATAAATTGTTTCAGAGTTGCGGTTAGAAAAGTCAATTTGAGTAAAAACTCTTCTTCTCCATCTACTCCTGCTTGGATTACCAATGGGACTTCTTCTCGGCCTTCTATCGTTGTTCTATGTGTTTCGATGGTGTCCACGCCCTCTACGGTATATAATTGACGGTTGTTTTTAATTAATAAAATTTTCGATACTTTATTTTTGTTTTACTAAAGATCTTTAATTCAACAAAGATTTGGTCATCAATATCGTATAGATGGTCCCAATTGTCGACAATCAAATCTTTTTGAAAAGCCAAAAAATTCGAAAAGAACTATAGTACCTGAAGGTACATATCAATATCGACAACAATATATTAAAAATAATAATGATAAGTCAATTAATCGACCTAGAATTACATCAATGGAAAATACACTACTTTCTTCAAGTGAACCATTTTTTGATAAGTCATTATCATCAATTGAATTTCGTTCATCAACAACAAAAGCGACATTATTTGGTTCGCCGTCAAGAGCTAGTCTACTGCCAGCTGAAAATATTTCATTTATCGCATCACCAATTACTCCACTTGATTCTTCCAAACATCATTATGATTCAATTCTATTGCAAAAATATTCAATGCAGATTCAATCACAACGAGTATGATATAGACTGTGACGCTTTCAAAAGTGCATATTCAAAACTTTATGTTTTGCTCGTTTTTTAAAACTGATACTTCATATTTTTATTTTAATAAATTAATTGTGTCAAATTCTGTTTATTTTAAGAATTCACGCATGGAATGATCGAATGACAACAATTAAAATCATCTTAAAATATAATGTTTAACAACATACGAGATTGTGTAATCTATAGAAAAAGATGCTTTTCAATCACTGTTATGATATATCGATCGTTCGATTAATATCAAGTTCTTATTTATAACGATCAAAGTTCGTAGACATGAGTTCCTATTCTTTCAACATTTTCTCTGCTTCGGCGAATTATGGAAGCCGGATTCCTAAATTCATTCCAACTAAGTTTTCTAACAATTCTTGGATCTGAAAACGATGTCTGGAAATAGCTGGTCATTTACCATAGGTCTCCCGACTACGATTTCAAGATTCTATCCCGATGAGAAGATACAGTTCGTAACCATTTATTTTCAACCTCATGATGACATTGGCTTCCACTTAATAAATCAACAATTCTTGTGGAAAATATGTGTTGCTTGTTGAGAGTTTTCTTGAATTTGAATCTTGTGAAAAAAAAGAGTTCTAACTTCAAGTTCAACGATTTTGATCATCGAATTCGGATCCAATATAACTCCTTTTTTACATCTCGGTGGCAGGAAATTTTTGGAACAGGTCAGTTCCTGTTCGGTGACCTGAATTATTTATACTTAAGCTTGTTATTGCTTATATTTTGTTAGCACATTTGAACTTTGTTGAAGCTGTTATTCTAGGAGATCTATCTCGTTGACAAATTCAAGATCATGTATCGTTGTTACATGTTGATTATCAACTAGTATTCACTTTTTATTGTTTTATATGAACTGATCAAATATCCTAAATATCAATTGATTGAACATAAAATCTTCTTTTAAAGTTTGTTTTATTTTATAAATGAAGGCTAGAATCTCGAAAAATTTCAAACATACTATCTTATAGCAGTTATAATATACTCAAATTTGTAAGATTAACCAAGAGTAAAATATAATTTTAGCACGGCAAATTATCTTTTTTTTTTCTTTCAATTCTATGAAATAAATTTATAGCTATATCGATTTATTGTAGTTTCATGAATGAATAATTCGATCTAGATAATCAGATTTTTATTCTTGAGAAAAATACAATTTATGAAATATAATTATATTTCCAATTCTTTTTTTTCTATTGCCAACAGCGATCGGGAATTTCAATTGTAGATTATTAATAAGTCCCAATAGAAATACATGGAAAAATAATAAAATTGTTCATACATCAATTTTATTCTTCTATTATCATCAACTGATCAATTTAGTGCAGAAAACGAAGTTTTATTTTGAGTAATGAATAAAAAAAAAGAAAAGTGACATATTAAATGAAGCATGTGAGAAGAAAAAAGATCTTGTTTAATAACATCTAAATTTTGCACTGTTATATTTGCTTAAACGATTGACCCTGCACAAAAAGCATACGATGAGAGAATCACAGACATATAATATAGGTAAGCATACAACAAAGATCATTGAAAAATGAGCAAAAAGAGACAAAAGAATGATAATTTAACCTAAACGCAAAAGAAAAAATGGATTAGATTTTGGCGAATAGGAGAAAAGTACAAGATCAATTTTTTTTTGTTTTTTTTTTTGATTTAACTAATTATATTTGATTATCGAAAGACTGATTGTTGTTGCATAGTAGGTGAACCAATATTAGTAAAATTACTGGGTTCACCTGATGGTTGTTGTTGTTGTTGTTGTTGTTGTTGTTGTTGTTGTTCTGTACGATTAGTAAAAAATTTTGTTTCTTTATAAACAAACCAAGCACTACCAATCCAAAGTATGAAGTTTAAAAAACCAAATATAACAGATACGATTATACTTCCATAAGTACCAGCTAGAAAAGAAAATAAAAAATAAGAATAACAAAGAATATTAATTGAATTCATGATTTACAATAATTTTCTGGACATTGTGCCAAATCTGGACAAACACCTGAACGTTGAGCTACATTTTCCCAACTAGTTTGCGTACGAATATTTGATACACCTTTAGCCCATGCTGAACTTCCAGCAATCCAAAAAATAGACCAAATTAATATTATAATCAAATCAATTAAAGGCAAACGTCCATCATTACGATATCGTTGATCCATAAGAACATAAATAATAGCAAATCCAAGTGATAATAACATTGATGTAACACCTGTAAATACAAAAAATTCAGCTGATGGTTTTACATCATTTGCTGTCGATATCATATTTAGAACGGTATTGTTAGATGTAAACATTATTGGTGTATTTTTTAAATTGTAAGGATAAGACCAAGATGCAGTTATTAAACTATTGTCCTTATTACTGGCGAACATTACTGAAGAACTACCACTACATGCTGTAGCAAATGCAAATATTGCGAATATAAATTGAAGAATACGAATTAAACCACGAGGTTCTAAAAAAAAGAATAATGGAACAATTAAAGAAAATTTTTATGAATCAATACTAATGGACGATAGAAAAGTTTTTAGATAAGATGTTTGTTCACTTTTGACCTTCTAGAAAGATATCAGAAGTCATACATTTAGGATGCTCTTGTCGAATATTTGCTTAGAAAATTTTATCTCAGTTTTTCTTCGAGAGGAATGAAATAATCTTGGAAAAGGCTACAAAAATTAGTTAGAATCTTTAGTTATATATCAGTTTGCGCATCAGAAACTACTCTACAAAATGCACTGTTTGAATTTTTATTTTGTCTTTCGACAAGATATTTCAATTTTCTTTAAATCGACACTCGTTTTACATTGAAAAGAGCTCTTTGAAAAAAAATGCTTGGATAAAGTTACCACTTCATTCAATATTATATTGTATAGCAAAGTTTCCACTCTATAAAACGACCAACACTGACAATATTTCAAATCTTCGACAAACTTGCTTACTGCTTTTGAACAAAAATAGACACAACGTTTCTAATTCCATATTCAAATTTACGTCGCGATCTTGAATTTTAGGCTCCTCTGAAATGCTTTCAGGTACTCTCGAAAAAAAATTTCTAAGTCCATTTTCGAAAAGAACATTCTAATTTATGACTTTCGATATCTTTCTAGTAGATTAAATGTGAACAAACACTTTTGTTTTCAAGTTTTTCGGTCATCTGTTATATCAATTAACAATAGTTTTGAAATTGAATCATTTTGTATCTTACAAAATATCGGCTTCAATTCACTCATGTGAACGACGACTTTGTTTTATAAATAAAAGTCTATTTTTTATATTCTTGTTTTTAATATTTTTAAAATTTCATCAGTTTTCTTTGTACTATAAAATTATATTCAAAATAAAGCTTTCTGTTTTTTTTTTATTGTGAACTAAAAAGTTTGCATAATCTATGAAAATGATTATAACTTCTAAAGAAATTTTATTCAGCGTGAGAGCCCGCACCTCTCCGACAATGGGATTGACTCTCTCGCAGTGTGTGAGTATTGTATCAGGTGTTAGTATTCTCAAAAGTAAGCGTGCGCCATTTTAAAAGACAAAATGTGGATAAAATAGTGAATTATATTTCTTAAATACAAACAATGTTTATCTTTATTAAATCCAAACATAATTTTCAATTAAAAAAGAATTTTTTTTATATAATCAAAAAAAAAAAAAAGAATTTATTTTCATCAAAAATCTTAATATTAATGTTTCAAATCATCGGCTATGTTCTTTTCATATTTATCAATAAAGTAAACATAAGATAAAAATCATTCCACTTTATTTTTATTTATACATGATTCATAATCCTGACCTTTGTTTTTTTTTTTTTTCTAAGATAAGAATGCTTTATTCTATTACGAACTTAAATCTATACAATCAAGCTTATACATGTATATATATATATATGGAGTTAGATAGTACACGTACGATACATTTTATATTGATAATAGATATGTATGAGAAAAAAAAACATACAACAAGTTTTTCTTTTTCAGTTTTAACATTATTATTGAAATTTTATTAGCATAGAATATATATATTTCAGTTTATATTCAATATGATTCGTGTCTGTAAAATAGAACTCACCTGTAAATATTTTAAAATTAGCTGTCATTGCACTAACTGAAAGTTTTGATTGAAAAGATTCCATTGCAATAATAATATAGAATAATTAGTTATCTAAGTAAAAAAAAAAAAGAAAAAATATTATTTTTCAAAATAGAAAACAAAAAATGTTATTCTTAATATCGAGCCTTTTTGTATTTTTTGTTCTTTTTCATTTATACATATGGGAACAATAAATTATTAAGAATATGTATCAGTCTAACTATATTTTCTTTGTAGTACATATATTATATCTTCATATTAATTATTATTGATGTTAATACTATTGTACTCAATGATGAATGAACAAAACAAGAATCTGATAGATTTTTATTTTATTCTATGACTCAGCAAAGCATGTGCTCAAATCAGTGAAAAATTCTCTTCTTTTCATTCTTAGTTAAATATTTTGCTCATTGTATTGATAAAAAAAAAAAAAAGAAAGAAAGTCACAAAAGAAATGACAATGAAAACCTACAGAAAAAGAAAAACAACACCAATGCTTGATGAGAAACTTGTCGACTGAATCGAAGAAAAGGAAAAAAAAGAATAATTGCATAACAAGGTAGATGTAAATAAAAAGGTAGATAAAAAAAAGTTATATATGAATTCTGACAGGAAAGCAAAATGTGTACTAAATATAGAAGAAATTAATTTAATAATCGATAGTTAACGATGTTTTTTTCTTACTATTTGTGTGAACATGAAAGAGCTAGCCTTTTTTCTTCTAAAAAAAAACGATTTTCTGATTGGTTCACTTGTAAGTCAATTATTTGTATTAACTTTAATATTTAAATAGAGGGCATCGTTTATCATTTTTCTAATAAACAAAATTGAATTGATCGTATAAACTAGTCTTGAAGTTATTTCTGTGTTTGAAAAACAGAAATATTAATCTCTTTTCTTTTGATAATAAAATTTATGTAGCTAGGAACATAAACATTATAATATTGCATCGTTTGAAGAATATGCAGAGAATCCTCGAACCTAGTTTGCAGATTAAAAATATTCAAAGGAGAAATGCTTTCATGTTATTGATGAAGTCAGAACAGAGCTGAGTCAAAGCTGATTTATATCAAGCTCATTTGAAGAGATTTTCACAGCTATGTCAATGCTTCAAAAATATCGAATTTCTTGTAAAATTTCTAACATTTTTCAAAATACTTAAAACTTCTGATGGCAATACAGATTTAACTATATAATGCTTTTTCTGTAGAGATCTGTATCGGATCCCGACTCTGCTAAAGTCGAAATGATCATGAAGAATTTTTTTTCGGAGTCAATATCTCGGAGATACATCAGTAAAACAACCTAGAAAAAAGCTATCAAAGAGACTCACAAAAATAATTAGCACAAAAAGAAATACAAGTACTCATCAAAAAACAAAAATTTAGCTCCACAGGGCACGGCTCTTCTGATTAAAAAAAAATATCCAATAAAGACATGTTTCTCATACAAAGTCAATGAATCAAACATTCTTTTAATGTGAGTGCTCAGGGCGATTCAAAATCATTTTATCAAGAACTAAAAACTTGAATATCGCCGCCATATTTTGACCACTGATAAAAATGTCTTTGAAAAGTTCATATTCACAAGAAAAACATTAACAAAAACTGTATTGAAATGTCGCCATTCACCAAATTAGAGCTCAGGAGTTCTGAAAAAAAAAGAATGTACGTTAAAACAAAATGTATTATATGCCTTGTACTTTGTGACAATTTTTTTGAAAACATGGTTCGTACTGATTCTTCAGTGCATCTGTCGTCTTTCTGCAAAAGTGAATAATTACTATTTTTTTAGTTTAAATGCAAACTAGTGATACCTGTTCTTATAACTCAAGACGGTAAGATGTTGAAATCTCACAATTTCAAGTTTGTTTGCTCTTGATTAAACTGCTTCAAAGCAATCCTTTCTCGTTTATTGATCAATCTCTCAGCATGTTTCTGATCAATAACTAATTGGAAAACGATCTAAAAAAAGATTTACCAGAATATATAGGTTCAGTATGTTCAAGTGTGTTGGTTATAGGTAGTTGTATGCGCACAACAAAGCGGTACATGAATAGTTAGCAGACAGAATTGACACGTTTTCATGGTAGAGTCTGCCACACTATTAGTATTCAAATACATTAAAATAGATATCATTTATGGTTCGTTTTCCGTCAGGAAACGGTAAAAAAAGCTACAATGTTATGGCAGTAAGCTAATTGTATTTTCACGTAATCCCGGACAGAGCAATATGGTATCATATTTTTTACCGGAAACAGACTCTGTTTTCTGAACTAGATAGCGACACATTTTACTTTAGTGCGTACTTCTGTCGGTGGTTGATTAGAAACCTTCTGAGGCTTGTAGTTTTTGATATGGTGAACATAGCATTTTCACTTTTAGTTTATGTGAAAAAGAATAAAATGAAAGCTTGCTGTTCATATAAAATAATTGAAACAATTTTGTGCCAAGGCTATTGCAGCAGATTTTATTGTCGTTGGGTCTCATATTATTATGTTAATGTTTCCCGTGTGCTCTTAGTGGCTCAGAGAAAATTTTCTTGTGATGATTATCTTGCTTATCATTTCTCGTTTAAGCTAAATTTTGAAAAGTTAGAGATATTCTCACTTTAAGACTGTTTCAACAGGTGAATGATTATCATTCAAAATTTCAAAAACAACAAGAAATAATAACGAGACAAAAATTATAGCAAGTTTTAGTCCATGCATACAAGACTGCACACAATAGATTTGCAAATTTCTAGATATTTATAGCTGAAATTTCTGGTTACAACGAGAAACAAAATCTGTATGTGTGATATAAAGATGAAGCCAAACAGTTAAAGAATGGCATATTCATTTTGGGACGAGGATACTGCTATTTTTCACAACTCGTGACAGGTAATACTTTTTTCATTGAAATCATCATTGACAGCTCAAAACAATATTGATCAACGTTTTTTGTTGTAAATATAAACTGTAGACATATCTTTACCAATGATGAAAAAAATCAGTCCCTTTGATCAAACTATAGTAATGATATTCAAGCTTTGTTTCTCGGTCAAGTGGCGTTTAGACCATCCTGAATTTAAGTAAGACTTCATAATATTTGTTGCTTAGCAAATTTCATTTCATTTATTGAACATCATCAACATACATTATTACTTTTTCAATCGATTAACACTATAGACTTTAAAACAATTATCTAACCGAACTTATCTCCTGTTCGTCTATTAAATTATATTGATGTCATAATTGCTATTCACAAAATAATCAATTGTTGATTAATAAGATCTTATTTGAAAAACAAGTATTTGCTGCAAATTTTCTTTATCATTTGTCAGAGATATTCATCTAGACAGTACTGGTGAAAAATCTAATGCCAATATATTTTTGACTTCTTTTTTACGACATCAATCATTTAATTCATATCGAAATAGTGATTTGAATAGCTCAGTAAGTCCTCTATAAAATGCATTTTACACAAAAATTTCATGGAGTGACTATGAGAGGAAGATTTTCGAAAAACCAAATATGATAGTTCTTCGGCTCCAAAATAATGCGATCTTAAGGAGTAGGAAATGCTGAAAAAATATGACGGTTAATTGATTTCCTACGAACTTCCTTTACAAAACTATTATTGGCACAGAAATACAAAAAACAAATGAGTTTTTAGCAATATTATGATAAATTTCGCTTTTTTTCCAGTTTGTGTAATGCTTCTAACTTTTTCAAGGAAAGGTTCTAGAAAATGGGGTAACCCGCCATTTTATTCATAGTTTTATGTTCTTAAGAATGACATTCTTAAAAACTAATTTTCCCATAGTCGTCCTATGAAATCTCAGTATAAAATGTATTTGATAAAGGACATTGTTAGCTATTGAAACTATTGTTTGAATTTAATTTAAACATTTGATATCGTCGAAGCAAAACCAAATATATGTTGATTTGGTACTTTCAATCAATATAGTATTTAAATTAGAGTATAAGTCAATTCATAGTTGCAATCTTTTCATGTGCATTGTTGTTAGTTGTTCTAATAAGACAAAATTCTATTTTCAAGATTAATAAATTGTCAATTATCAGTCGACTGATTCATAAAATTCATCTAGACACTTAATTAATGTTTTTAAATAATAAATAATGTAAGCATCATTTAAATTTCAAATGATCATATGTTCTTTATCTAACCTTTCTTAAAAACAATTCCAAAATTTCTGCGAAATCGTTTGACATGTTTGTGCTTTTCTTGACAGTTAGCTCACATTTTAATTAATTATCCTCATAAAAACTATGTGTCTACGACAACATTCATTTCTAAAGAATTAAATTATATTCTCTATAAAAACTATATAAAGACCTTTTATTTCTATTGTACTAAAATAAATTTATAATTCAAAAATCTTCAAATTAATTAAATGTTTTTTCTTAAAAGAAAGAGAGCATCTATTACGTCAATGTTAAGTCTATAATTTGGATAGGATTTATTTTAAAAGTATGATAATCTATATTATGCTAATTTTATTCTACAATGAATATTTTATTTAATACCACAATGTATATTAATAAAAGCTATTTTTTATTCAATGATCTTTGATATATTTCCATATATTTTGATCTATATAGATTGAAGTTGTTCATCTCATGTACTTGTTTTTGATCTCTCGCATGTAAAACACTGAATGAATGAATGAATGAATGAATGAATGGTTTTTTATGCGCATGAGCGATAGACATTATCATTGTTTTGATTGTGATATGAATAAATAATCAATAAAATTAGATTCGAATTCATATTAAATGATGAATTATATTGTTTGTGTTCTATTCTATAGTATTTGTTTGACTCAATCCAGAAACTGAATATTTAATTAAAAATCAATAGAAGCCTAAACCAAAGATTTTTTTTTTCTTATTTGCTGTGATTGACTATAAACACCAATAAAGAAAAAATAAATATTTCACTCATGACTTATACTTAGGTTTCTTCGTCTTCATTTCAACAATTATTTAGAAGGTTCATATTGTTTTTTTTTTGGGAATTAGTAACATGAACTGAAACATAAAGGAGTAAAAAAAACGTTTTTTCTTCCTTTCTTTACAATGCAACATCCGAGCTTTAGAATAAATAATTCAATTCTCTCAATATTTTTAATCTTCCAATAAGCAATTGCATCATGTGTAGCAATGTAATAATTCATCAAAATAGAACAAAAAATATTCTTAATTGTGTGGCTAACAAACCAAAAATTGATTGACACAGTTATTTTGTCACATTTAATTATCATAAAAGGTCTTTCTGATCTTTTTTCTATTGACAAGCTTCATTAAGAAAGTCCTAACTTTCAAACTAATATTGTATTCAAACGTGTTTGTAGGTGAATAATAACAAAAATGTAAAAATTTCAATTCTATAGAAAACAGATGAAAATAAAACAAGCATTTTTTAATGTACCGAAGTAGAATCAGTCAAATGGAAATTAATGAAATCTTTTACTTGAAAATAAAATAAAAGCATAGATGAGAGACAACGAGAAAATTTCATCATCAAATAATGCCAGATTATTATAGTCTTTTTTATATGTAGTATAATAATAGAATTATAGAGTTAATATCTTGTCACACACAGACTTTAACAATATAATAAGCAATCGAAATTATTGCATTTTAATATATAAAATTGCAGAGTTAAACGAATTCAGATATGAAAATGTAAATAAACATGTCAAGAGCTTATATATTGCCATGATGGAGTTTATGATAAGTGAAGAGAATAAAGTAGCTGTTTCAATATTTAAATACATATCATTAATTAATTGTGATTTAGTAATATATGTAATTATCATGCACAAGTGTTCAATCAACAGTCATTTCAAATTGAAGATCTCATAAAAATTGAGTTATGAAAATATATACAGTGACCTAGATAACTAATCGAACAAGTTATGCTTCAAATATTTTTTTTATTTGTTGTCAGTATCAACAAGAAGTCAAATGTTGATTTGAATACAAAAGTTTATCTCCAACAAGAATGTTTGATTGAAAAAAAAATGATTGTTAATTTCCTGAGTATAGAGTCTTTGAAAAACCAAATTATTTTAGCTTCTAGAATATGTAATTTTAATTCTATGAGATAGAGCAAACAATACTCTACAAAATGAAACACCTTCTAACTCTTTAGAATGTTTTTTGAACAAATATATGTGACTTTTGCGGAAAACACCAAAGGCTTTTTTCTGTTAATTCATACGGAAACTTAATTTTTATACCATCCGTAAAGTTCATATATTCTAATTATGAAAACATCATTGTCAGCTGAAAGTTATTTCATTTTACAGACAATCATTTGCTCTATTTCATAGAATTATGATTGCAAATTTTAGAAGCTGAAAAATTTGGTTTTTCAAAGACTCTTTCCTCACAAAATTCATTTTTATTTTAAATAGTTCTTGTTAGAAATAAGATTCTCTTTTCAAAATCAACATTTGAATTCTTCTTAGCTTAGTCGGAAGTGGAAAAAACTTGAAAATATATCCGGTCAAACAATGTCTGCATGTAGAACATATTAAAAATACTCCTCTTGGAAAACATAGAAGGTTATTAAAAAAAAAAAAACAAAAGTCAACATGCACAAATATCTGATCAAGAGACATAGTCGTGATTAAGGCTTCTTTAGTGTCAATAAAGAAAGGAAGTGAAAAATAATATTTATAAATAGTATTAATGACATGTTCGAATAAATTTATGTTTTCTTTTCGTTGGATAAAAGAATTTACTTTGATTCTTTTAAAATGAATTTTTCATTTTTTTTCAATTAGCCAATTCATAAGGAGTAGTGTAAATGTAAACATAAGCAGATTTATACTTATGTTATTTTCCTTGTGACATGTCTTTTCTCCATTGGATTTTTTTTTCATTCTTGCTGACGCTTGCAGTCGAAAGAAAGTGAGTACATTAACAAGAATGGAAAAAAAATTTTTTTCTTCCTTGACGTCAAACCGAGTGAGCATGTATGGCGCAGGAAAAAAATAGAATAGATTGCCAGAAGAAACACGTTATGTTTTCACATAATAAAGAGACACATTTATTTTACCCTTTGTGTTTGTTCCCAATATTCTCAACATGTTCCCTGCCTCTTAGCATGTAAAGCGACAAAAGAAAAAAATATTATGACTGAGATAAAATTCTGTCTTGAGAGTACTTGATTAGTTAAGACACGTAATTTTTTTATTGAAAAGTAAGGGATCTAAAAGTATTTTAATGCAAGAAAAAAAAAACGCTTTGTTTTTTAGATGAATGTCGACTATTTTGCTCTAAATGAAGAGGATTTTATCAATGAATCAACATCAAATAATGACGATACTTTTAATGAATATTCATCTGACCCAGACTTAAATGTTTCAACTATAACAAAAAAGGTTTCGATTATAATTTATTATTATTTTTTGTTTTATTAATTAATTTATTTTTAGTACAATGTTTCAATGTCAAATAATAATGAATACGTAAAAAAAACCGAGAAAAAAAATTTACAATGTTCTGTTTGTGGAGCAAGAGCATTTGGATACAATTTTGATCGAATTACATGCGAAAGTTGTAAAGGTAAATATAAACAGAAACACAATGTTTATAAATGACAATAAATTTCATATATGTTATTTTATTTCCTAGCTTTTTTTCGACGAAATGCTCTGAGGAATATGGTAAATAAATTGAATAAATGTTTCTATATTTTTTCTTCTTATTCTTTATTTATCTATAAACAAATTTAGACGGAATTGCAATGTCGATTTGGTGGAAATTGTGCTATAACAATAGAAAATCGACGACATTGTACACATTGTCGCATTAAAAAATGTTTTGCTGTTGGTATGTAATATGATGCTTAATCTTAATAGGAAAAATGAACCTCATGCTTTTCTATAAAATCAATGTTTACAGGTCATGAGTACCTAAAATCATGTTTTCTCTTATAAATTTAAAGAATACGAAGAAAAAAAAATAATAAATTCATGTAAATTATTTGTGCTCATAATAGTTTTTTTTAATTGCAGGTATGAGAAAAGAATGGATCCGTGACGACAAAGATAAAAATAAAAAACATAATCCATTTGGAAAACATCGAAACATTAAACAAACAAAACGAGGACTACAGGTTAATAATTTGGATATATTTGTTTTGTTAATTTTTTTAAAAAATATTATTCAGATATCAATATTGAGACAACCAGAAAATTTTAATTCATCAACAGCATTATGTTCAATAGATCGAATACGTCTTAATAATATAACTCATTGTTATGATATATATACCGGTGAACCAAGTATAGTCAAATATTCTGCACCACAAGAAGTTCTTTCATTACGTTTACATGATTTTTACAATCGTAAAAAGCCAATAATAATTAATTTCATAAGTTATTTTAAACATTTGCCTGAATTTCAACAACTGAATATTGATGATCAAGTATCATTAATAAAACGAAATATTCGTATATTATTACCAATTAATTATGCTTTATTAAAAACACCCACCCATTCACAATTTCGTTATACACACATTCAAACAATTGGTTGTGTTAATAATATAAATTTACATACAATGTATCAATTTCTATCAAATAATTTTGTTCCATTTGTTACATTTGATCCAATTATAACGAAGTTATTTTTAATTACTTTATTTCTTACAACAAATTTACTAACAACACATAGTGATACTATGGAATATAAACAAATAGAATATATCAAAGGAGTGCAATCTAATTATATTGAATTATTATGGTCATATATGATTGAAAAATATGGTAAACAAAATGCAGTAAACTTATTTACAAAATTTATCACAAAATTTATAAATTTACAAAAAACAATTGATCAAATCGATTCAATCATTCGTTTAAATAATGATATTCAATATGTAGATTCACTTATTAAAGTTATTTTACAATTGACATAATATATATATATATATTGTTTGATATTTAATCTCATTTGTGTTATATAACCGTTTATTAGGAGAAATAAAAGTTCTGAAATGTTATACGTTTTGTTTCAGTATTTGTCAATAAATATATAGTTTTAGAGAAATTAATTCATATTCGACGATTTAAAAGAGAAGATGCTAACAAATGAAAATAAAATTTTAATGAAACAATAAAATTGCATCACAGAACGATTCCGTTTAGTCATCTCTTTCGAGAATGCTAATTTATTGGTAACAGGTCATTTGAGCCTACGACAGTTGAGTCTTCACACATGAGCCTCTTAACAGTTGAGCTCTTAACATTTGAGCCTCACACCAAGAACAATCCATTTTAACTTTTAAAAAATTCTAAAATTCACAATTTTTAAAATTGCATTGGCAAGATTTTAACTTAAAATAAAATAAGATGTTGTTGTGAATGTAGGCATTTGGACGAGTCAGTACTTGGCAGCTCATAGGTGGAGGTCCCGAGAGCATATGGATAGGTCATACTCTGCACTAGAATGTCACTTCTCTCATAAATATGCAAACACAAGTGGCTCGCTTGAAATTTTTGTTCCGAAAAAAATGCTTGTAGGAGTTAAATTTAGTAGCGACATTTTCAGTTCTTTTTATATTTAAATTCTTAGCAATTCATTTTTAGAATAATTCTTTTTATTTGTATATAAAATTTTGTTTTAAGTTGTTTTACACTTTATGATATCTAAATTTTTTAAAATTTATTTAAAAATTAACTTTTTTGTTCAAATTGTGGATTTAAGAATTTTTCAAAAGTTAAAATTGATTACTCTTAATGCGAGGATCAAGCGTTCACGGCTCAGCTGTTACGAGGCTCAAATGTCTGGTGCTCAAATGTTAAGAGGCTCATGTGTCAAGGCTCAACTGTCGAGACTCAACTGTCTATGTACCCTAATTTATTATAAGTATAATGAAAGAAAGATTTTAGTTATAATGTAACACCAGATATAAACAGAAACTGGACGATAAACATGTTAAATCCTACAATTTTTTTCTTATCATGAACCAAACTGTCGAATTTTATTTCTCATAATTTCTCAGAGCAAAGATTTTTTTGTTACTAAATTATAAAATTCTTACTTTGATAAATAATCCATATCCCTTGACTTTTTGTTATTGTGGCTACAAATTTATAGTTAAATGATAATATTTTTTCGTTGAAATAAACAAAATACTAAGTACATCGACTATTGACCAGAATAAATTTGTCAAGCACTTCCTTCAATCAAGAACGAAAATTATATGTTGTTAAACATTCGAATCTCATAGGGATTATACTAATAGCAATTTTGTCCTAATTTATTTTTTAATTATTTATTAAACCTCTGCACATCAGACTTATTGTCGAGTATAATATAACTGTTACTAAATAATATAACTATGGTAATGTTAATACCTAGATACTAATATTGATAAAGCTTCGAAGAAAACAAGAACTAAATGTGTCATTGAATTCCTTTTGTTAATAATTTCTTCTCATTGAAGCAATTTCTGATATATAATATAACAAGTGGCTGCATAAAACTTTACCTCTATGATGTATGATAATAAAATATTTGAAAAAATATAGACTTTAATTTTTTTGTTCAAGTTTTAATTTTAATAGTTTATAAGCGTATAAATAGTTCTAAAAATAGAATATCAACTGAGTAAAACCTTTTCATATTTAAATAACATATGAATAAGACTATCGCTCTGTTATATTGTACAATTCATGAGTAACTGCTTCGAATGCACCTTTATGATAAGTCTTTCGTTTTAGGCTAACCTCGAAGCAATATGTTTGATTCTCAGAGCTATAAAATTGCATTTTTCATGAAAATTTTGCTTAAGACAAAAAAAGATAAGTCGAAAGCTATACATTGGTTCGACAATATATGGCCTGATCTTTGACGCCAATTGCAACTAATTGTATATGTGATTATTATCACTCCATATTCGAACGGAGGCGTATTCGTTTTGATATCTCGAATATAAATATATCAAGTAATATTCAAACTTTATTTTATTATTTATCCTATTTTTGCACTCATTCAACAGGTATCATGCACAAATTTTTATCAACTGCAATTGCTCTTGTACTCGTTTCTATTATTGTTAATGTTCAAGCTGAATATAAAAAATTAGAATTAACGATACTTTCAGCACCTGCTATTGATATTACCAATGTTGATGTTACACCAATGCCAATTATAAATCCAGGACAAGCTTTTCTTACTTTTACTGCTAATCTTAAGCGTCCAATTAGTAAGTTTTTTTTTTCTTCTTTTATTTGTTTTTTATGTTGAGATATAATATAATCATTTCATATTATTTTCTATTCATTATTAGAAACAATACAAACTACTTTAAAAATTAATCGTGCAGTAAGTGGTATTAATCTTCCAATTCGATGCTACAAAGTCGATGGTATGGAGGTTGGCTCATGTACTTATACAGATTTATGTCGTGTACTTCAAATTATGTTACCAACATTTAAAGCCGATACATGTCCTAAACCTATGGCTCAATATGGTATTGATTGCAATTGTCCATTCAATATTCCTGCTGGACATTTGTCTATTGTAAATGAAAAACTCGAAATACCTGATGCTCAATCAAGTATTGCTAATTTCATGGCTACAGGCGATTTTACTATTCAATTGGATACACAAGATGCAGTTGGACCTTATGCATCAATTATAATTAAATTTACTGTTAAATCACACAAACCATCGGGTTAAAAAAAACTCAAAAAACGTTTTTCATTCATAGAAATAAAACTTCAGCAAATATAATAAAATAAGAAAATACATTCGTATGTTTTGATGTTAAATATTAATAATCATCGTTTTGTGCTTCAGTAATAAATTGATACAATTATATTTTTCTAAATTATTCAGAAAAAGAAAACATCAAACAAGATTTTATATGTTCGTATTAATATTTATTTTGTAAATTATACATAAATAAGAAATCTGATTTCAACTTGACAAAAAAAAAACAACTATTCCTAATTTTTACATCTTCATCTAATAGAATATATTTGTTAGACATATACATATTTAATAGAAGAAAAAGTAATGTATAAGATTGTCTTGTTTTGTTTACAAAAGGCATATTATATGTATATACACTATTTGATAATGTCAATTGAACAGTTTCTGCTCGATGATGACATAAAAGACAATCAAGTGTCAAAAGACTCATTCATTCATTCATTATGAATCATTGATTTCTGTTGTACGATGTACAATATTGGATGGCAAGCATAACGAGACGATGATTAAACTAAATATATATATGTATATATGTCGTGTTGAAGTTATATTGTTTGTCGAATGTTTTTTACGTTAACTAAATAGCAAATGACTATCGATTGATGAATGATATATTTTGAATATGTAGTTATAATTAAATTTTTATTTTAATAATATATATACATTTAATTTTATAAGAATAAATAAAGACTTATTTTTCTAGAGATCTGGCAGTATTTTATTATGAAGTCCGATATTGTTTTGACCTTTTAATACAAAGAAATGAGGATAAGGTTTTAGTTCTCATGTGCTACATACTATTAAAAAAATGAGTCTCGACATTTCGATAAATTTAATAAATTAAAAAAATAAAGTTCTAAAAGCCTGCCATTTTCTTAACTTACTAATCATAATCTCTTTAAACTTTTTACGTTCATTTTTTAATAGTAGTTCAGTAGCTTGATTTGTACACAACTGATATACAAGCAGCTAAAATGACACAAATCAATAGAATGCAATTCTCAAGTTTTTCGAAGAATTTTTTTTGATTTATTTTTATACAAGGTTGCGATTTAAAACTACAGTCGGGGACAAAAGTTTAAGTGAAATTAGTTTTTCAGCATTTTCACATTTTTTTTTGGTGGTTTTTCAGATTATGAGGTACGGGTCTGATTCAAATGGTGATATAAATAGTACGAGAAGCCAACTACATGATGTATTATAGAATGAGACTCTATCTGCCTATATAGCTTTTTCATCATTAAAGCAGATTTTTTTTCTATGCAAAAAAAAAGGTTTAAGCGCCTTTCAATATTTCGCATTTTCTAAGTAAGAGATTTATGCTAAAATGAAACAAACTTATATTAATCGATAGAACATTTGATGCTCCATCAGTTGATAAAAAAAAGATTTTTTCTCAGAGTCGATCTTCATCTTTGAAACTTGATTTGGTGAGAATAGTCAGCATTTTTCTTCTATCAAAATAGTTAAAAAAAGAACAGCTAATTATATTTCTCAAAACTTTATTTCAATAAGGCGAGCGTAAAAAATCAATGATATTCGAACTTCAAATACAATATTTTGTTCAGTTTTTAATGCTCATTCCAACGGTCTATGAAACATTGTAATAAGAGGGAGTTTGTGGAAGGTAATTCACTTTTCCATTTTTGCTGATGATTCTCATTAAAATCAAATTTCAAAGGTGAAAATAGACTCTGAGAAAAAAATCTTTTTTTATCAACTGATAGAGCGTGAAATGCTCTATTGATTAATATAATTTTATTTCATTTTACCATTAATCTCTTGGTTAGGAAATGCAAAATACTGACAGGTACTCAAACTTGTTTTTGCATAGAAAAAAACTATTTCAATTATGAAAAATCTAAATAGGCAGATAGAGTCTCGTTCTATAATACATCATGTAGCTGGCCTCTCATACTATCCATATCACCATTTGAATCAGGTCCGTACCTCATAATATGAAAAAAAAATATCCAAAAGAAATGCTGGAAAACTAATTTCACTTAAACTTTTGTTTCTCACTGTAGAAGTTGGAATGTTTATTTATATATCGACTTGTAGATGAGAAGTTATCCAACAAAATGCATCATTTGAAATTTTCTTTCGAGAAGGCACATCGACTTTCATGTTTCCTACATACGTATTATTAAAAAATCGATCATTGTTTTACGTTGAAAATATAACTCTTTGAAAAACTTCTTAGATAAAAGTTACAGTTTAATTTAACAACGCACTCTGGAAAGAAGTGTTCGTTCTACAAGACAAATAAATGTTCATCTCTTTGAAAAAGTTCCTCGCTACTCTTGAACAAAAATAAACACAACATTTTTAAGTCCATATTGGTTTCACCAAAAAAGTCGATAGAAAAGATTTCATTCAAACTACTTTTGAAGGCTTTTCAAAGATTAATTCATTACTCTCAAACAAACGCTGAAACAAAACTTCTAACAAGAAAATCTCTTCAGCTGTTTCCATTCGGATTTCAATGGTATTTTGCCTATAATAATCTGTCTATTTTCTAGAACTTCTCAGTTTGGGGGAGACTCGTATTTTCAAATTTGATCTGAAATTTTGTGTATATAAAAAACGTAACTAGAATAATTTCCATAAAAAACAGATCACAAAGTTTGAAGAAAATTTCTTCTATCAGATCAAAAATGAACAAGCATCTTATCTAAAAACTTTTCTATCACTCATTATAACGTCATCAATCAATTGATTATTATTCGCTGTTTATTCAATATACAATAACTGCAGTACGACATGTACATGTATATAGAACAAAATTGTTTTAGCTATTGAACAGATCATTTACTTTTATGTAAGAATTCTGCATAACTTTTATCATAAATTCAATAAAAGAAATGATCAGACATCAATTCAATTAAGAATTAAATTTCATATAAATCAAAGCACTTGCAGTGATGCTAGATATAAGTAAAAAAAAAAAGTTGTCCAGACAGCAACAACTAAGATGACAATCAATCATCGTGAGAGAAGATGTGTGAAATGAAACCATTCAAGATATAAATCACATCGAATATAATATTTGCTAAATAGGTGTCAGCGACAAGGTCTACATGAAATGACCAATATGTTCAAGCACAGATGTTGAATAGAATTTGTTTTTGTTTTTTTAATTTCCGATAAGTTCATAGAAACTAAGTATATTTGTCATTTCAATTATAATCGGCATAACTTGCCTATCTTGTTATCATATGAAATGGAATCATTGGATGGACAAGAATGAGAAAGAGAAAGGAAAGGAGAAAGAGAGAATGGACAAGAGCAAAAAACAAAAAGAAAGAAGAATAGAGAAACATCATATATGTATGTTTTGGCATGTGGTACTTTACTCATTGATTGTCTGATATCTTGTATTACTTTTTTTTTTTTTTAAAGAAAAAATTATTGTCGATAATATTATCAGACATTGATAACATATGAAAAAGTAAGTTAACAAGAAAAAAAACGAGACACTTAGTATACATCAAAGAAAAGAAATAATTTGCCCTGTAGACAAAATTTGATTTTTAATCAATTATATATTGTCAATCTTAACCATATGTGTATCTGTTGACCGAAAGATTATGACTCCTGCTGTGTTCAATATTGTTTATACAATATATTTTTTTTCATTAATTATTATTATTATATTTTGCATATTTATCAAGTATAGACAAATTCTATGATTAAGAAGCACGGGGATGTAGCTCACTCGGTAGAGCGCTCGCTTTGCATGCGAGAGGCACCGGGATCGATGCCCGGCATCTCCAGTCATCTTTTTTTGTTTTTATTGATTTTATATGCACGCGTAGGAAAGAGACTTTTTTTCTTTTCTATTACAAATTTGATCTTATACTGGACAACGGAATCAAATTGAACAAAAGAAAATAAAAATTCTATGTTCAATAGAGTTACCTTGTTATAAAGATTAATTTTCATATTTATGTATGTCGTTTTAACTCTCTTTCGCTTTTTATTACACAAGCGTTTCAAGTAGTAAAAATTTCATTTGTCGATCAAAACTAGTTATTATCCGATTGAACTGTCGTCTATGTGCATTTGTTTTTATGTAAGTTAATTAATTTCGACAGTAGGATAATAGATGAGTTGTGTATTAAATGTTGCATTGTTTTTAATGATCACTGCACCTTCATTGTTATTTCTATATTAATTTATGACATATCGCAAGAGGCAAACAAATAGTTTGAGAGACACTTCTATATGATAATGAAGAATAGTTATATTGTGATTCGTTTCAAAATTAGTAATGACAACAAAAATACAATGATATAAGTTATATGGTTTGCATCATAATGATTATCATATTGGTACCTTGAATAAAAAATTTTATGTAAATAGGATATGCTTAGTAGGTATGTTCTCATATGATCAACATATTGAAAGTAAATGAAATGAGTAGATTTTATTTTTTTTTTAAATATTCATCAGTCAATATATGATAGAGTTAAATTTTGTCTGATAATATAAACAATCGATACATCACTAGGATTTATTATCTTTCGTTTTCTTTTTTTGAAAGAAGAAGAAGAAGAAGACTGATAATGTCGAATGAATGAGATAGACATTACATTGTCTGTCTGTTGAGTAATGATGAAGCCAATGAATTGACAATGCCTTTCGTTATTTTAAGAAAAATGTATTCCTTTTTTTTTTGAACTTTGTTGTATAGATAATTATTGTTGCTTTATTTTTTTTATATAGATTAAGTATGTTGGCAAGTGTTTTGATTATTCTTTGCTTATTTCATCATCATACTGTTGCATTTAATATGGTATCTGATGAAGAAGATACAAGAGACTTAGGAATAAGTATGTCTTTCTTGTATATATATATAAATATTATCAAAGATAATTATTTATTGATATTTTATTTTTTTAAGGATTTAAACAAGCAATTAAAGATGCTATTAAAAAAATTGATAATGCCGTTACTAGTAT